GGAGGAGGAGACCAAGGATGGGAACAAGGACAAGAATAAATATGAAGACAAAGTTGAGAATGAGGATAAGGGTGAGGATTGGGAGCTAGAGGAAGAGGATAGCGATGGGGATGAGGATGAGGATGAGGATGAAGAGATTTGGGCAGAAGATGAGGACGTGGTCATGAATGTTGGGTGAGAAGAAGAATTCCGATTTGTAACCGACTTGTGTCTGTTTATGTTTTGCTCAAATCTACTAGTTCCAAGTAAAGATTGATCATAAATATCTTTTCTAACTCACCCTTTTTAGACACAAATAATAATTCCTGACCGACTAGGTCAGGTCTTGCCGTCCATAATTGCGCGGTTTGCACAAAATACTGCCTTGTGATTGGGTGTCTAAATGCTTCCCTGTCAAATGCCTTTCCTTTGTTTTTGCCTTGTGATTGTAGGCGCCCGCCGCTTATGTAATCTGAGACTTCGACAATCTGTGACATACACTACACGCCCTCAGTTATGGTCTCTTTTGATCTCTCTATTGTTAACATTTGTGTCAGATGTCTGTGGAATCACTCTTAACTCGTCTACACGCCTTGGATCGAGCTTATGAGCCACCTCCGTGCTTGGATTTTAGTCTTCTCTGGAGAGTCCTGTCCTCACCTCTTCTCCTATCAATTGCAGCATTCTGTCCTACCGTGTTGGCCTTGCCATCATCGACGTAGAAGCTCAGAATCTTCAAGATCCTGGGCTTTCTCTCTAGGAGTCAACTCCTTTAGCCGTCCTTCATGCTCAAATCGCCAACCGAGTCAAATCTGTTCTTCAATGTATCCGGCGCCTGTATACTTCTTTTTTTTGTGCCACAGGTGTGTATTCGTACTACCCAGTATCTAACCAATCAAACCGTCCTCTTGGCTTGCTCTCTTTCGTGCCGTCGAACAATGCTTCTCACCACACGAAAATCCTGCCGTGCTTGCGTACTGAGAAGGCTTCTTATTTGTTACTAAGTGATGTACTACAATTAGCGTGCACAGATGTGATATCCATTCTGATTTATAACCTTTGGGTAAAGGAATCGTCGGTCAGGAACTGCCTGAAGGGCCATATGAATAAGAAATATTTACTTGAATATGCTAATAACACGTCAGAATGTGTTGACCCAACGCACGCTTATTAAACCCCACCTCCCCTGTCCCCATGAATTCTCTCACCGCTACACTAGCCAGAAGTCCAAACAAATCGAATAGTGATTGGTGGGTAAGCCATTCCCACATCATTACATAACACTCTTACTAACCTCTTCTATCACCAAACAGTGACAGCCCTCCACCGCCATGAAAACTCAGCAAGCGTAGAATAGCAAAGATTTATTTAATTTACGTGTATATAAAATAAATAGACTGTTTCATATTTAAAAAAGGCCTTGGTGAGGAAAATTTCACCTTGCAGCCTGCCTTTTGCATGTGTCGAGTCGCCGTTAGAATTTTTGCTATTCACCTCGCGTGACTTCTAGCGGAGACACGTTATTAGTAAATATAACAAATGAATTCTAAATTTACTCTGCCCCTTTTGACGTCACACGGACCCCCGGGGTCCTTCGGGAGCTGTTGTGAGCGGAGATGAGGGTCAGTTGTTTTGTTGGGGAAGGGACGGTGGTTGGGTCAAATACGCATAGGAGAATGTGACAGAACCCGCTAAAACCTATTAGGTCACGCGGCCTCTGGGTCTTGAGTTGTGACTGGAGAAAGGGGACCGAGCCTGTACCGGCTTATTTCTTCCCGCTTCATCACCGGACCCAGTACTCACCGCTCCTATCTCAATGATTATTCATTCATTTTATCTTTCATTATTACCGCTTTCAAATCTTGATTGGGCTCTCTTTGGTCGTTATAATCGTGGTACACCAAGGTAGATTCGAGTCTGGACTATAGTTCTATCAAAAGTCAATGCATCTAGGACCCAAGTTTCCATAAATCTATTTCTTGCCGTCTGCTGTTGGAATGAGTAACTCCCATCCTTAGACCTCGACCTCACCGGTCCCTGCGAACAGGCGCATGAGAAACCACCGATCCTGGATGATAAAGTGGAGGATATAAAAAGAACAATTCATTCATATGGCTCTAGGAGATAATTACAGGAACGCCCACCCAACCTCTAATCTCAAAGCTGTGAACCCAAGTCATTCCTCGTACGAGATTCTTGATCCATCAAATACTGCAACATTGGATCATATCGTTGAAATGAACATGTTCGATTTGACGTTAAATACACTACCCGGCTTCGCCATACAGAATCGTCGGTAAAAGTGCGGCAAACCGTGCACTGGCTACTGGGAGAAGGAGGGTTTGCATTCTGCCTGGGCCAGCCCCCGCAAGGAACGGAAGGTAAACCGAAATTGGTGTCATAGGCAAGTATACCGGATATAGGTGGAGTTAGGCTGGTTTTTATGAGACTTGGAAATTGGGTTGGACTTTGAAGCCAGCTATATCAACGCACCCCCTCTCCTTAGTCATCTACTCTGTCCAAAATCACCCTCTCAAGTTGAAAGATATGATGGCGCAATACTTGTCTCTAATAACCCTCGCATCTGCCCTTTTGTATTCGTCGAATCGCGTGGCGATGGCCCACCAGGACCTTTCAACTCGAGCGGATCTGCAAACCTGCCTGAATGGTCTAAACGTGACACTACCTGATGATCCTACCTTCCAGTCAGAAAGCCAATCTCTCAATGCTAGGGTGTCGTTCGCCCCAGCTGCGATTGTCCATCCGTCCGTAAAGTCCTTATTGCTTTCGCTCTCTACGTTTCTAATCTCCGTTTTGTTGTTTCACAACAGGAATTCGGTTCAGGATGTCGAAAAGGTCGTAAAATGTGGCGCAAGTTCAGGAGTGCCCGTCGTAGGGCGTAGTGGAGGACATTCCTACGCCGGCTTTGGTCTCGGAGGAGTTGATGGAGCCCTCGTTTGTGACCTCTCCCACATGAAGAATATCACGCTCGTCGGTGACAATGCCGTAGTTCAAACGGGTAATCTCCTCGGTGAGGTTGCGACTTACCTCTGGGAAAACGGCCAAAAGGCACTCCCTCATGGCACGTGCCCAAAGGTCGGTACCGGGGGTCACACTTCCTATGGTGGTTTTGGACCATTTAGTCGTATGCATGGGCTGCTGTTGGACCGCGTCGTCAGTGCCGAGGTCGTTCTTGCCAATGGTACAACCGTTACGGCTTCCCAGTCCTCCAACCCTGACCTTCTTTGGGTAAGTACACGACTGGAATTTCTCACGCGCATCTGATGATTATCAAGGCTCTTAAAGGTGCAGGACCATCGTTTGGAATCGTCACCTCTTGGACATATGCAACGGTGCCGGCTCCTCCCACCGCGGTAGCTTATGATATCGACCTTCCTTATTTCTTGACTCCCGAGAGTCTTGCTTCGACATTCAACAAATTCCAAAGCTTTGTCCGCACTGCTCCCAAAGAACTTGCCATGTCATTTTCGATGGGTGCTTATGCGAACGGTGTTATACTTGGAGGGTTCTTCCAAGGGAATTACTTTGGCACCAAAGCTGAATTTGAAGCGTTGGTAAATCCTTTCATCGAGTCTGTGCAGGGGACCGTCCGCGACGCCAATGAATATGCGGATTGGACAAAGGTCCTGGTGCATAATGCCTACAACGAATCCCTCGTCACTGCGACTCCATACCCTCAAAGCACATTCTTCACCAAGTCCTACGTCGCCGTAGACACCTTATCTGACGCTGCGGTGGCCAACTGGACGACCTATCTGGTTAATAAGGCTGCGCGTTCAGATGTCAATTGGTTTATTCAAGTTGATAGGTACGGAGGTGCTGTAGCTGATTTCAATACGTCAACCTCGAGTTTCAAACACCGCGACGCATTCCTGGTGTTCCAGTGCTCAGGTTCCTCGACCAACAACACGGCCTATCCCAGCGATGGAATTGATGTCGTCAGTAATATGGTCTATTCTCTTGACCCGAACCCAAGTCGTGCATGTATGTGTCCATTCTTTGTTTATCGCCTTTCCCAGACTCACGCCCCTGTAGACCCCAATTACATTGATCCAACGCTCACCCTCCAAGAGTGGCAGTCACAGTACTTTGGGGACAATATGCCAAGGCTGATAGGAATCAAAGCTCTCTATGATCCGAATAACGTCTTTTCGTTCCCGCAGTCCATCCCAGTGTCAGTATATTGACCTTTATGCCTTCCATAGCCCTTTTACCCTTGAATAGTCTACTTGTTTGACATAACTTTACTGACCATTTGATAGTCAAGAATCGGCCAACTCGACGACGAACTCTCAGTCTTCGTCACCACCATCCTTCACCTACAGCTCATCACTCATCCAGGCATTGGTTGGAATGTGCTTGATGATCATGACCATTCCATACCTTGGGTTCATCTAAGTCCAGAGAAGATAGCCCGCATTGTCCAATCATTTATTGGCATATACGCTGTCCGATCCTTTAGACAATATATACATTTGATTCATTACACTGTCTGTGATTCTGGTGAACTAAATGTTGTGGTCAATAAAGGTTATTTCTTAGATCCTAACCACCACCTACCAAAATTGCATGATAAATCCAGCTATCATAGGCGACAAAGTTGAAGATGTAGAAGAAGAGGTCACTCCTATCATAATTAAATCCATCATATATTGACAGTGGATGGCAGCTATTTATCCTTTACTCCAACCGAGCAGGCTACAAACCGTCCTCCGACCAGGAACTCCTGCAGTCTATTGTCACCCCTGATGCATCAAATGCTTCAGCACTTGGACTCGTAGACCAAAGAAATGATCTGGTGACTCTGAGGTTTGAATTCGATAGGCCCAACACTGTGTCAAACGTCAACGCAGACCATAAGACCTCTGAGTCCCCAGGCAAACACAAGAGAAGGGGATTAAAATCCAATTCCAAACCACAGAGAGTGCCCCAAGCGAAGAAGACTGTGATAGAAATTGACCTTGCCCAGGATATCACTGCTCTGAGAAGCAGAACTGGCGACACAGGTACGTTGGGGAGTATAATAACCCAAAAATAACTTTCTAATGTGATTGTATAGGTGGAGGTGTCTGGAGGGGAAGGTAGATATTTTCAGGGCGATGGTTGATATGTACTGACCGTTATAGCATCCTTTTCGCATGGAAGGTACTACAGCAACTTTACACCAATGATCCTGGAGGTCTCTTCGACCCTATATCTCTCAAATCTGCCAGTGTTTTAGAATTGGGAGGTGGGACCGGCTTACTAGGCTTATTACTCGCACCACACGTCCAGAGATACATTTGTACCGATCTACCAGAACTCATACCTCTTATCAAAAAGAACATTTCCATCAACAATAAGGCTCTCTCAGGCTCTGAGGGGCCACTACTGGCGGAGCCTCTCAATTGGGTCGACGTTTACGAGTGCCCCCCTAATTCTCGCCATCGCCTCTTTTCGCGAAACCTTTACATTCAATCAGAAGACATCAGTGTAGATGGGAATTCTAATTCGGGAGCGGATCTTGTACTAGCAGTGGACTGTGTCTACAATCCTGCTTTGGTCCCTCCTCTCCTAACCACCATAGATCTTTTCGCTTCTCCTGGGAGAACTGTAGTTCTCGTGGTAATGGAGCTAAGAGATGAAGACGTCGTGCGAGATTTTCTCGTGAAATGGACCGAGATGCCGGACTGGGAGATATGGAGGATTGGGAACGAGAATCATCGCTCTCATCTGGACGCTAGATTCGCAATTTGGGTCGGAAAGAAGACTATAAATTCCTAATGACATACATGCAAGACCAGAATGAATACTCCGAGAGGAAATGTTTTCCTAGCCCCCCAATACTTCACTCTTCATCCTACCACAATCCCTGCACGTCCACCACTCTACTTTATTCCCTCCCGTCCCGCATCCGAGACACGTCCATCCTGTAGCCGGGTCGACCGGTTTGTTGGTTCCACAAGCGTCACACCGCAGGACGAACTCGTCATTCAAGAGCGTGCAAATTTGACAAGCCCATTGTCGTGTAGACAGACTGTCTATGTGGGCATTTCCACTGGTGATAGTCTTGGCGCGCTTCGCTTCTGGTAGGACTCTCGGTGTCTCTTCAGTAGTCCCGTTGCTCATTCCCGTTGTAGGTATGGATTGTAACCTTTCTGGGGCCTTTCTCTTCACTGGAAGAGAAGAAGAGCTAGCAGCAGGGCGGTTTGGTTGTTGTGTTTGCGATGAAGAAGAGGGTATGTCCGTAGTCGTTGATTGAGATTCCGTCGTGGCTGGGACATCAAGAACACTCTCCTCCATGGCACGTTGTGTTTCTCTCTCAATAGCTTCTTGGGAGGTAGAGCCACACGCCTTTTCATCTCTCGCCCTCCTACCAGCAGCCTACAATAGACCAATAATCAGTACAAGACCCTAACGCGAGAGCTATTCATACCTCTGCTGCCAACTCACGCGGTGTCTTGGTAGTGATTATTTGTCCACCGCCAAGTCTCTGTCCACCGCCATTGCCCGACATTACTGCCCTCTTTTGTCTTTGTTCCGCCGCGAGGGCCGCTTTGGATCTTGCTTGACTCAGGGGAACGTTGTGGGATATTCCCTCGCCTACCCGCCGACCGGCAGAGTGGAATCCCTCTCCAGAGTAACCTTTAGCTCTTAAAGCATCATATTCGTTTTGTAATTCTCCAAGGTACTGCAATTACGTTAGTGCGTCTGTTTCATTGTCGAGGGCAAGGAGTCTGACTTTGTAAAACTGGTCGTTATGAGGTCCATGTACGTTATGAGTGAGCTAATGGAATTCTATAAGCAAGAGAGCTGTGTGATCAAGAGATATACCGACCTCGTGAAGCATAGTCCCACTACGTCCTCGTCATCGTAAAACCTATCTGGAGAATGGGGAGGACGCAAACGCAAAAAGATCTTTTGTCCTTGGTTTACATCTGGAAATGTGTTTGAGATAGCCTTAGCTCATATTTCAAAGCTATTTACTCATTCCTAGAAGGGGTCTATGTAAGTGTTTGCCACTCTCCATCAGGCTCGAGAACAATGTGCGCACCAAGCAAGCTGGGATCAGAGGGAAAGAATTCGCTAAGCACAGGTAGAGTCCACCCTCTTTTGCGCATGATGGGCTTGACGAGGGAAGCCACCCTCTGTAGCATGTCCAGCGCCTTTTCGCCATGTGGCTTGTCTTTGAGGTGCGTGAAGGATTTAACTAGAGACATGGTGGAGGTGCTCATGTGAGTGGTTGACGGTCAAGGTGTGTCCAGGTGGACGCGCGGCCAGGCGCTGACCAAGAGAATTGAAGAGAGCCGGACCAAACGGTGAAAGATCGACCGCGCCACCACCGATCCCTCACCTTATCACAAGGATAAACGACACACCAATTCTGTCATGCCATTGCGTTCCACTACACTGGTCAAGCCGATGCATTGACCAAGACGAATAAATTGTATTATATTATACATCCTTTCTATGCTCATAGTAAGATAACGGCCATCCACTGCGTGAACTCAGAAGAGTGAGCTGAATATGGATCCCTCTCCTTGGACTATGGTATGGAAGTGACCATAACAATACAACTAGTGAGTACTACGGACGGCCAGCCACACGACGACCTAAAATCGACGAACTATTTGTGGATAATTGTTTACTCATGTGATACGGCTCAGGATGTGTGGATACGTGGCTGGGAGCTGACCACGAGAATCGAGGAGAGCAAGCGGTGAAAGATTACGCCACATAATAGAATCCGACTTGCCCCCTCGCATCTCACAGAACTATTATACAAACAAGACTAGGGTTCAAAATAAAAGACTGAGTGAAATTATATGTTTCTAATGAACATAATCCAATATAGTCCTAATATGATTGCTACAGGTCCTCGTGATGTATTCTCAACATCCCGTATTGAATCAATCTCTCAACCGTCACCCTCACATCTCTCAGTTGCGTGTCTGGTTCGAAGTACAATATGCCGCCAAACACAGCCGTGAGCTCATACAGGGGTTCCCGAAGCGATGCTATAAGACAAGTCAGGCAACAATCGGAATATTGTTAAAATTTGAGATACCGTAGGACGCGAGTGCGACCCAAATAGATGCAGCACAAGGTCGTACCGTCGAATTTGGATTGTGTAGCTCCTGCAAGCTATATAGTGCGACATTAATGAACGATGAAAATATATGACCTGATAATACGTGAGCGCAAGCAGTTACCGGATATCGGAAGGCAAACCGTTTTCGGCAAATTGACCAATGATATGAGCCGCCGGGTTGGCTATTGTTTCGTTTGATTCGTAGCATAGGCGTTCCAGTGCTGTAGGCCACTGGTTTCTTAGACCCTCGATATTGGTATATTCTAAGAAAACGATAAGTTGGAGATAAGCTTGAGAAATCGACAAGACTAACCACGAGCGATAAAATCACAAAATTCGTCTAGGTATGGTCGGGATTCAAGTGAGAATGAGACACTACTTCCTTGCCGGAAAGTATTACTCACGATGTTGAAGCAGCTGCTTAAACATCATTGTAGCCGCGTGGCGAGCACCAGAGTCCGAATGTTTGAAACACTCCACGAGTTGAGGGATCGTGCCTTTGGCCATGTCCGGTAGTGACTCTGCAGCTCCGTTAATAACTCTAATATAACTAATACCAGTTTCTCACCTTGCTGAACTAGCTTCCAAATCTCTTTCACAGCTGCTTGGCGAACATTATGCTCTGTGTCCTTGAACATGTCCATGAGTTGAGGTACCGCATCCTTGGTCGCATCTCTAAACGACTCTTCGACTCTTTTTCAGTGACTCTCAATCTGCTTGATGCTAATTACACACCATATTGAGCCAGTTGCCCAATTACTGTCACAGCTTCCAGGCGAACATCCACATCTGGGTCCTTCAACATGTTCATGAGTTGAGGGATCCCATCCTTGACCTTGTTTCGAAGTGACTCTACAGCTCTAAGTCAATGATCCAAAAAGCACCCGATATAAGTCACTCGCCATATTGAGCCAGTTGACCAATCGCTGTCACGATTGCTCGGCGAACATCCCACAGTACGTCTCTCAACGCGTCTACGACTTGAGGAATTGCCTCCATGGCCATATCTCGAAGCGACACTGTAGGATGTTGTTAAGGCTTTCCCAATAGGTTCGATACTATGTACTCACCATGCTGAGCCAGCTGCACAATCACCCTCAAAGCTGGCAGGCGAGCATGCCCTGATTCCTTGAGCATATCTACGATTTGAGGAACTGCATCCTTTATTATATCTCGGAATGCCTCTGTAACTCTTCATCAATGACCCACAAGACTCTCGACACAAGTTACTTGCCATGCTCAGCTAGCTGCCCGACCACTCTCAAGACTGCCTCGCGAACAGACGGTTCCGAGTCTTCAAACATGACCAGGACTTGAGGTATTACATCCTTGACCATGTCTTGAAGTGACTCTATGACTCTCCATCAGTGACTCCCAATACGTTTGAACCCAGTTACTCACCCTGCTGTGCCAGCTGCCCGATCGCTATAACTACTGCCTCACGAACAGAACACTCCGAGTCTCCGAGTGTGTGCACAAGTTGAGGTATCACGCCCTTGACTATATCTCTAAGCGGCTCTACGATTCTGCGTCAGTAACTCCCGAACAGTCCGATACCAGTCGCTTACCATATTGAACTAGCTCCCTAATTGCCACCACAGCTATCTGACGAATATCAGGACCGGGGTCTTTGAACATATCCCCGAATTTAGGAATCGAATCCTTCACTATGTCTCGGAATGGTTCTACGACTCTCGGTCAATGATTCCCAATACGACTAATACCAGTTACTCACCTTGCTGAGCCAGTTGCCCAAGCACTGACACGAGTCCCCCATGAACAAACTGATATGAATCTTTGAACATGTCCACTAGCTGGGGGATTGCATCCTTGATGGTATCTTGGAGCAGGTCTGTGAATCTGTGTAAATAGCTTTCAATATGCTCGCGACCGATTCCTCACCATACTGAGCGAGTTGCCCAATCGCTATTACAGCTGCTCGGCGAACAGACTCCTCCAAGTCCTTGAACGCGTCCACAATCTGGGGGATTGTACCCTTGACTGTATCTCGAAGTGACTCTACGACTCTCCATCGATGACCTTCGATACTCTCGATACTGGTTACTCACCCTGTTGGGCCAGCTGCTCAATCGCCTCGATAAATGCCTTACGAACACCAGAGCTTATGTCCTTGAGCATATCCGCAAGTTGAGGAATCGTTTCCTTGATTGCATCTTGAAGTGACTCTGCAGCTTTGTGTCAATAACGCCCAATACACTCGGTATCAATGACTCACCTTGCTGAGCCAACTGTCCAATCGTCATCACAGCTGCCTCACGAATAAACCACTGTGGATCCTTGGACATGTCTACGAGCTGAGGAATTACACCCTTGACTGTGTCTCGAAGTGATTCTGCAAGTCTGCATAAACGACTCCTAACACTCTTGATACTGGTTACTCACCTTGCTGGGCCAGCTCACCAATCGCTGTTACGGCAGCTCTACGAGCATACAACTCTGAGTCCCTGAACGTAGCTATAAGCTGAGGTATCGCATCCCTAACCATATCTTGGAGCGGCTCTACGACATCGTGTTGATAACTTTTAAGTATCTCAACCCTAGTTACCCACCATACTGGGCAAGCCGTCGAGTCGCTTCTATGACTGCAATACGACTAGCTCCCTCCGAGTCCTTCAACTTGTCCATGAGTTGAAGAATTGTATCCTTGACCACGTCCCGAAGTGATTCTGCGGTTCTAAATCAACCACTCTCAACAAGGTCAAGACCAGTTACCGACCATGCTGGGCTAGCTGCCCAATTGCCGTTACAGCGGCCAAGTTAACATCGGTGATCCAGTACTTGAACATCCCCATAATATGAGGAACTATGCCCTTGACCATGGGTTGACAGCTTTCTACAACCTATCGTCAATGAAATTCTTGATCTATTTCTTCATATCTCACTCAGCCAGTATCGCTGTAGTTGCCTTCTTGAAATACCCTCTACGGGAGAGCCTTCGAATAACCTTGCCACTGAATCGGACTCCTGGCCAACCTCTTCGTTCTCCTTACCTATACACACTATCAGAATAGATATTTCTTTCGAGTGTATGCGCACCAAGGTCATTTAGTTCACTCAGCAGCTTTATGATTGGCGCTGATATACTTTCTAGGCTATTTCCTGATTCCTTGATCCATTTCATAACGATTATTGTCGTTATTCTCCCCGTATCTACACTCTGTGGTCATGAATAGTCCCTCATCGTGGTAATTTCTCACCGTCTTGACATATATTTACGAGTTCATCTATTCCGGTGGGGGCAAACTCTTTTGCTATCGCATTGATCGTCGATTCAAATGAATGTTCACAACGCCTCCCTATAGTGGGATAAATACAAATTACCACGCTTTTGTAGGATTTGAACGCACAGAAATAAGTCAAGGCTACCAGTAATTGACAGCTATTGTACCATTTTTCAATGGCCCTGTTTTCGGGAATTTCGCTGGCTCCCCGAATCATAAGAGATCTTGAGATTGGGAGGTACCTCGAACGAGGGCTATCAGATACAGAGACTGGTAATGGATCCCAGGTGGTATCTGGTAAGTTTGGATGAGATACAGATAAAATCGAAAACAGTAGACGTGAGCGGATCGAAGCTAGAAGGAGTGAGCATTAATTTAGCCTCATCACGATGCTTACAATCCACAGAAATCTTGGAAAGGAGCTGGACGATTCTAGAACGGAGTGTTAAGTCCTCATGGGCTAGCAGCATCGCAAGAAGTGGGATGTGTGCTTGGAACGCATCATGTATATCAGCTGTGATCAGATTAACTGTCAGCGAAATAGACGAATGGAAGACCTATACTCACTGCTCTCCGCCAAAGAATGGAGTATGCTAACAGAACTTGAGCGATCATAGAGGGTCCCTCCCATAATTTTCTCCACAAGAAGAGGGATTTCACCCTCACGGGAGGCTTTCATTGAATCTAAGGATGCCTATCAACTCCTTGATATTATCATGGGGGAGGGGTGAAATTCACCATATGGGTCTATTCCTTGAGCCGTGGTTATAGTAGAGAGACGAACATCACGGTCTGGGTCTTTGAGAAGGTCCATTAATCGAGGAACCATAACTTTGACCACGTCTTGAAGAGACGCTGAAAGCCGTATTAATACCTCACCACGTACTTGACACCATCCTCTCACCTTGTCGAGCTAGCTGTCCATACGTCGTCACGGCTGCCTTACGAACAGACGCTTCTGAATCTTTGAACATGTCGATGAGCTGAGGTATCACATCCTTGAGTCTGTCTCGAAGTGAATCTACGCCTCTGTGTCAATGACTCCAGCACGCTCGATACCAGCTACTTACCGTACTGAACAAGCTGCCCGATCACCGTCACAGCTGCCTCACGAACAGCTGACTGCAAGTCCTTGAGCATGTTCACTAATTGAGGAATTGCGTCCTTGACCATGCCTTGAAGTAATTCTGTAGCTCTGTCTTAATGTGTTATAATACACTCAACATCAATAACTCACCGTGTCCAGCCAGTTGCCCAATCGAGTTCACAGCTGCTCGACGAACTTCATACTCTACGTCATTGAACATGTCCACAAGCTGAGGTATCATATCTTTGACCATGTATCGTAGTGACTCTACGGCTCTGTGTCAATAACTCCCAATCCGCTTGATGCTAGTTACCCACCATATCGAGCCAGGACCCCAATGGCCACCACAGATGCTTCACGAACATCATAATCTGAATCTTTGAACATGTCCACGAGTTGAGGTATCGCATCTTTAACTACGTCTCGGAGTGGCTCTACAGCTCTGTCAATTATTCACAATACGCTCAAAGTTAATTACCAACCATGTCGAACCAGCCGTTCAGTCACTCTCGCAGCTTCCCTGCGAACAGCCCAGCCTGAATCCTTGAACATGTCCATGAGTTGAGGAATTGCATCCTTGATCATGTCTCGAACTAACTCTATGGATTTGTGTCAATGACTCCCAATGGGTTCTATATTGATTAATTACCGTACTGAGCCAGCTTCCCAATCGTCTCTAAGGCTACGCTACGAATGTTAGAGTCTGGGTGCTTTAACATGTCCACGAGTTGAGGAAATGCATCCTTAACGATCTCTCGATGTGATTCTGTGGTTTTGTATTAGTAATTCTCTACATACTTGACACCAGCTATTCACCATGCCGAACGAGCTGCTCAATCACTTCCCTAGCTCTGTAGCGAACAGACCAATCCGAGTCCTTCAACAAGTCCACCAGCTGAGGTATCGCATCTTTTACCGTGTTTCGAAGCGTTTCTGTGACTGACGTCAACAACCCTCGATACACTCGACAACACTTACCTACCTTGCTGGCCCAACTGCCCAATCGCTGTCACAGCCGTCTCGCGAATCTCCCAGTTCGAATCTTTGAGCATGTCTAAGAGTTGTGGAACCCTTTTCTCGACGGAGAGTAGCATTCCTCCTGCCACTTCGATCAACTCATGTATCTTCGTACTCTGCATACTAACCGCATCGTCCCAATTTGCCCAGAAGTCTGATACTGAGTGTTTTGATGGCTATATTTGAGTGATTGAATAATTTATAACATTCTTTTTCGATCATCCTCTTAACCACGCCCTTCAGTTTTCCTTCAATGCGTCATTCTACCGCACAGTTCTAAAATCGAGTACTCACCATGTGACGCTAGTTGTAGTGCCATTCTTATCCCTATGTCCCTGCTAGACCGATCATCACACGAAATTAGGCGAATGATGCTTTCCGATAGCCCCTCATCGTATTGTGAACCACGCCATGTCAAGGACCCCTCTGGTGGACTCTCCAAAATCCTGACGACTTCATCAAAGCTGCTTACTATATTGTCATCAGTGAGAACGAATCTCGAAATCAATATACTCTCACGAGTCATTAAAAGTCGAGAGAGAACAATTCCGCATTGTCCGCGTGTATATTCTTCGCCGTTCAATAATCCACGTAACGTTGCAAACAGCAGCTTTCTTCTGATATAGATTGTTGATGGATTTTGTGCCATTCGATCCAAGGCGTCGGTCCTTTGAAGCCACAGATTGCTGTGATCGTCCCATCCTCTGTTGAGGAGCATATGTGTACGAACGGTGAATGCCAACGGTTGTAGACATGGTTGGAATCCTTCCCAATCTGATAACGACATAACTATCTCTTGTGGGATAGATGTATTGAAGACTTGTTGATCAGACAAAGTCATCGGCTCTTCTATTTTCAGTAGAGCGAGTAGGATCGCTTCCAGTTGAGAAGAGTTGTTAATTATGAGCGATGATCCCCTCGTTGGTCGAATATTTTGCTGTAGTCTTTCGAAAATATATCGGTGCATAGTCTGATTATATAACTTTTCTCGCAGTTCTATGCTTTGCTTCACACCAGATAGAGCCTTGATCGCCTCGTCCGTCGTTTCCTCATCTACCGCATTGGCGACTCCCCAAGTCAATATTTCTAATTGAAGGTCCGTCGGATTATATGCCCGTAACAGGCGCTCCTTCGTACGTTGGAATGCCTCGAATAAAACATTCCAGTCCCAATCGTGCTTTCTGTACCGAGCCAACGCCGCTAGATAGTGAGAAAGTGGAGTCGAGAATGGGAATTCGGTGATGAATAATGGTGAAAATGTCGAGAATAGGTACAAAGTCGCCGCGATGAGAACCAATAAGAGGAGGACAAGTCGAATCCGGAGATCATCGCTTTGAACCTGAATCAAAAGTCCTGCGAAGAACAGAAATAGTGATATTTGAATGAGGAATGGGATGAGGGAGATGACTGTATCCAATCCCCAGGCTTCTGCTCTGTTAGATCGGTGCTGACGTTTGTATGCATCTTCTGAGCGCTCCCGTTTTGATGCAGGATTATATTGTGCAAGCCATCCTTTTGCGAGTACTCCGGAAAGAGCGCTCAGTAGCGTCAATGTCAGGCTGGAGAACCAAAGCGAGTTCACAGCGACAGCGGAGGCTGTCGGGTGAAATGTTTCTCGTGGTGATGTTGGTGAAACGCCGCGAAATGCATCGAGAAGTTCTGTCAAGAGTCGTTCTTGAGGGTCCTCTTTCAAGTCTTTGCGGCTTTCCAGCAGGAACGCAGCTAAGACACTTGCGAACAAACCAGCCTAATTGAGAATTAGTCAATGATTCTGTTTTAACGATGTTTGTATCCTTACAAATGTAAGCATCGAGTCTAGACTGCTATTCCCTATGGCGGTAACTTCCTTATCTTCAGCGTCTGTCTCTCTCAAGTATTTGCTCCATATCTTTGCATTTCCTTGGCAATGCTGTGCATATGGAGACTCTTCGTCGGGTTCTAGCGAGTATTTATCTCCACCATTTGGCTGAACAGAAGGTTCAGTCCCCTTATCGGTATCTTCTTTCGGTTTCGACTCAGCCGCTCCTGTAGGGAAATTATTCACCTTAACATATTTCCAGCATTCCACATACCTGCTCCTTCTTCCAACTTCCTCAAGCTGACATCGGGAAAGTCTCCCTATGGCAGAGTTGACATGAGCCGGTTGGGATGAGATAAAGGTTAGGCACCTACCGTCGATGCCATTATCAAAGCAAGACTACCCAGGAACCTACTATTCAGATCTGGTATCGCTTGTGGAGAAGGTAAGAACTGA